AACCATAAAACTAGCCAAATCCACATCGATATTTAAACCTTTAGGTGACAAGGTATCCAAATGGTAGATCCAATAAGTCTCCCGTTGTGCTAATTTCAATTCCCTATTACCTCCTCTCCAATGAGGGGACACATGTTCGTATAGACCCCTAAAATCCCTCCAATTAAAGGCCTGGCAAGTGTTACAGTGAACTGGCACTGAATGAGTGGTCATACCTTTTCTTATATTGTTAATATGTTCCATAAGGCGTACTTTCAGGGGTCTCTTAGTCTTTCCCACGTATTGCTTGCCACACGGACACTGCAGCAAATAAACTACAAAGTCCGTGTGGCAACCAATACTAGATTTAACTGGGAAAGAAACCCCAGTGGTATGACTTGTGAACTGTAGAGTTAAACCCAAGTTCATCCTTGAGCAAGCCCGACACATCTGGCATCCTTTAGATCCCTTCATGTGGATGATAGCTTTCTTTTTGGGTATATCTTTTCTAGGATAACTTGGAGCAATTAAATCTTTTAGATTTTGACCTTTCCTATAAATAATAGATGGACGATCAGGGAGAATGTTTCCAAGAACTGGATCCTGTAGTAATATAGGCCAGTATTTTTTGAGGCACTTATTGATTTTCCAATGATCAGTGTTGTATTTCGTTATGAATGAGTATCTAAAATGATCATTTGAATCATTCTTTGGATGGTTGATCAATAGTTCCCTTCTATCTTTTTTCTTCAGTATTCTAAGTTCCTTTTCAATCATATTGCTATCATAACCTTTATTCACCAATTTATTTTTTATGTATTTTGCCTGAGTTTCAAAATCTTGAACATTAAAGCAATTCCTACGTACCCTTGTTAACTGGCTTTTGGCAATACCTCTCAGCCAGGGTTGGTGATGACAACTTGACTTATGAACATAACTATTTCCGTCAGTTTTTTTAAAAAAACATCTAGATCTAATTTTGTTCTGCTCCCAATATAAATTTAAATCTAAAAAATTTATGGTATCTTTATGCCACTCAGGTGTAAATTTTAAATTGAAAGGATTTAAATTAAGATATTGTACAAATAATAAAAAATCCTCTTGGGTACCTTTCCAGATGACAATCACGTCATCAATAAATCTCCGCCATAGGACCAGGCTCGCCTGCCAATCATGCCCGCACCACACAAAAAGATCCTCCCATCTTCGCATGTAGATGTTGGCATAACTGGGGGCGAACCTGGTTCCCATGGTAGTCCCTGTAAGCTGTAAATAAAATTTACCCTCATGAAAAAAATAATTGTGTTCAAGTATAAATTTAATTGCCATTAAAATAAAATTTTGCAGAGCATCATCAACCTCTGGATCATTTTAAATGAAAAATTGGACTGCTTCAATACCCAATTGGTGATGAATTACAGTATACAATGATGTTACATCTAATGTTGCCCAACTGTATTCATCTTTCCAATCAATATCCTCAAATTCATGTAAAATTGCTGTGGTATCTTTAATATATGAAGGAGCACTCTGGGCATATTTTTGAAGTCTTGAATCAATAAAGGCTGAAAGATTTGCTGTAATGGAGTTAATGCCACTAATGAGCGGGCGTCCGGGTGGAAAAAATAAATTCTTATGAAGTTTAGGTAAAAAATAAAAAATAGGAATAACAGGAAAAATATTATACAAAAATTGGAAATTTTTTTGAGATATTAGATTATTCTCCAGAGCTCCCAACAATAAACTTTTTAATAAGGAATTAAACATTCGTGTCGGATCTCTTGGAAGTTCCACATATGTCTCTATTTGGCCCAGGATGTTCAGGGATTCTTGATGGTAATATTCTGTAGATAAGATAACAATCCCCCCCCCTTTATCGGCCTCCCTTATAACTATATCTTCCCTTTCCATTACATTTTTAAGACACATGGATTCCTCCTTTGTCATGTTATAATTCCTTTGTTGATTACTATTAAGCTTTTTAAAATCCTGGCAGACCATATTTTCAAAGGTTTCAAGATGAGAACCTTTACTTTGAACAGGATAAAATTTTGATTTTGGCTTAAAATTCGTAAAGCCATTATCTACACCCAGATTAATTTTAGAATTAATGGGAGGATTAGATGAACACACATTATGATTGGTTCCAAAATTCATAGGAGTATCAATCACTAGCGATGGGATAGTACTCTTTGCGAAATGACGTTTGACTGTTAAATTTTTTTAGATCTATAAATAAGGCAAACTCATCCGCTGTTCGTGCAGGGGCAAATTTAAGACCACGTTTTAATACACTTATTTCCAGTTCAGTTAATGGTATCGGTGATAAATTAAATATACCTACATTACATTCTTTTAATGGGAAGATCTCTCCCTCCTGTAATGGTTTGGAGGTTCTTCCTCCATTCTCATTCTTTTTAGGGGAGTTTTTGTTTGAAGTGGAGAATAGCGGTTTGGATGTGCCCAAGAAGTTTTTCGTGGTAAAAAATAGTCTGTTATCCGCTGTTCTTTTTGTATCTGACTCCTCTCTAAAAAATTACCATTGCTTAGAAGAGGGGTTCTCTCTCTACAATAAGTTTTTTCTCTTGTTACATCCGCATAGGATCTCCTATCAGTGATATCACTTGTATCTACATTTCTTTTCGGTGACTTTTTATCACCATTAGTTCTCCTCCCCGAAGGAGACCTATGGAAACGTGAATTTCTTTCATTTGGCCACACTTTATTTTTTTTGTGATATTCTCTGTGTTCTATATATCTCCCTATCACCATCCTTTGATTTCAATTTATATTGATTGGTACCAGTAGAATTTCTATTAATTGTTTTCTGAGCTTCAAATCTGTTATAAGCAATTGTTTTGGTAAATCGTCTTCTACGTGACATTTTATTAACTGTAGAAAAAACATTATTACATTTGTCTTCCTTATCTCTCCTGTATTTTTTACTTTTTGTCTCCGCTATTCTTTCATCTAGTTCTTTCAATTTATTATTTAATTCCTCCTCATGTTGAATAAGTTCTGGACTATCTAAATCAAGTGATTGTTTTTCATCTAATTCCTGTAATTGTACCTCAAGATTAGCTTTCATTTCTTTAGAGAATTGAATGATGAGTTCCATGAGCTGGAAAGAACAATTATTTAAAATGTCATCCCATTTTTTCATGAAAACATCATTCTCCATACCAAAAGCTGGTGTTTTTTCTACCCTCAGACCTCGCGGTATAAGGCCTTCTTTAATATAATTTTCTAAGAAAGCTATCTCCCACCATTTTTTCTCCTCATTTATTAACAATCTTTCTTTAGTTTTAAAATAGTCCTCTAACTTTCTAATTGGCTCAGGTTTTTCCCATTCATTGAATAAAGCCTCAAATTTCTGTGATCTGGCTCTTTGAACCCTGGATAAAAAATTCCCAGCAGTCGCCATATAATCACACAATGTATAATATACGGAGATGACAAAATCAATGAATTTATACTAAACAAAAATATGTAGCACACAATACTGGGGGAAAAGTATAAATGAATAAAAAGAAAAAGAAAAAAACAAATACATACACAAGAAATACAAATGCACCTAACCAACTCAGTGGTAGGAATATGCAGAGGTACTTAACTTTGTATAAGATGAATACAGCTTCCCAAGAGGTTTCCCCCAAACGAACCTCAAATACAGATATGTGAATGGACAAAATAGGGATACAGCTGAATAAAAAATAATGATGAATAATGCGCCTTTAAGCCCTCAAAGGGCTGCAATAGTATTCACCCTCCACAGATAGGTTTCTCTGTCTTCCAAGAAGTGGGAGTATGCCAGTGTAGTATAAAAAAATCCTTTTATTGTTAAAGGCACTGATAAGCCTATATCAAAAATCAATAATTAAAATATACAAATAGTACTGCATCTAACGCGTTTCGTCCATACAAATTGGACTTCATCAGAGAAAATTTTGCAGTATACACAATATATAAAATACAAAGCATGCATAATCCCACCCCCAACAGAGTCCCTTAAATATAACCAGTCCGTTTGTTGATTGGAGGATTCCTTCGTAGACAACACCTCTTCAATAAAGGGAATTTTTTCCAGGTGATCTCCACCTCCAAATCTGCGGCTAAAAATGATGGGTCCGGTCTTGGAACGCAACGTCAGCGGCTGTGACGTGCGTTGTTACCCGCTACCGGAAATGCATATGTGGAACGCAATGGGAAGTTGTGATTTGGAACGCATAACATTACCGGACGGATAATCAGCTGTTTTTAGCCGCGAATTTGAAGGTGGAGATCACCTGGAAAAAATTCCCTTTATTGAAGAGGTGTTGTCTACGAAGGAATCCTCCAATCAACAAACGGACTGGTTATATTTAAGGGACTCTGTTGGGGGTGGGATTATGCATGCTTTGTATTTTATATATTGTGTATACTGCAAAATTTTCTCTGATGAAGTCCAATTTGTATGGACGAAACGCGTTAGATGCAGTACTATTTGTATATTTTAATTATTGATTTTTGATATAGGCTTATCAGTGCCTTTAACAATAAAAGGATTTTTTTATACTACACTGGCATAGTCCCACTTCTTGGAAGACAGAGAAACCTATCCGTGGAGGGTGAATACTATTGCAGCCCTTTGAGGGCTTAAAGGCGCATTATTCATCATTATTTTTTATTCAGCTGTATCCCTATTTTGTTCATTCCCTACATACATTCACCATTTCAGTCCCATTAACAAGCTTTCCTTAATATGTCAAGGTAGTTGGACTGAAACATTGATTACATGCAAAGGCACGTCTGCATAAAATAAATCTGCACGTTTGTTTATTTTTAAGCCTATGAGTGCGCTTTTTACGTTGAAGTACTTTTTAATTTTAAGTTATCTGTTCTAACTCTGTATCTGCACACTATGCTGGCGCGACGCATTATGGGGCTGGTAAATATTTTTTTTCCAGGGCTGCTTTTAATTCCCAGTCCGGCCCTGGTGGCCTGAATGGAAGATGTGTGCTCCTCCCTATATAAATTATGTACGCATACACATAAACTCTGCTCCATCTACTTTAACAAATATTTATTCAGAGACAAAACAACAACATACAAATAATAACACACAATCTACCTAACTAAAACAATAACAACTAAACCTTATAAAGTCATCACATCCCACTTACAGTTCATCATGATAAAAATTAGCCCATGTCTGCTCAGTAGCACAGCCAAGATGGAACAGGGAGGAATGGAGATAGGGGGAATCTCTTGGTTATCTCTTTCCTGACTTGTAAAGGTATTGAATTACCTACTTACCATATCAAAGGTAATCCCCTTCAATAATGGCATACCTGAGCTTGGTCACATGACCCCCGGTCATATTAGTTTCATAGAATGTCACCACACTCCAACTTGTTTGGTTACAAATACGTGTCTGTTAGTCCACCCACTGAACAGCGCTATGGAACTTGTTGGCACTTTATAAATAATAATAACCCATTATTAGGACGATAAACTCCCCTCGCCATAACAGCACTTGCAACCTTAATATGTCATGTTCTTCTCTCACTTACTGTCCTTTACTCTTTCTGGTCTTTTTGATATACCCCAATATTTTGGATATGTGTTGCTTATTAATGATCATTGTTGGCGTGGATATAATAAGATCTCTTTATTGTTAAACACAAGTAATACTGCTTTTAACAGGGAATGCTTGTTGGGCTATTATTGTTGTTCAAATTTTTTTGCATGACTTTACTTATGATGTAATTGCCAACAAAATATAAAGAATAAAGTATAAAAAGTAAGATTTTAAAAACAATCTTGTACTTTGCTTTCATTTTACAAATATATTTTTTGGGGAAAAAGCTCTGCACACTGCTGTTCCCTTTAGTGCTCAGCTGGCCAACAGCCTAAGCCCCAGTCCACAATTTAACAACGAGTCCCCCAACATAAAAAGGGGAATTCTGAAATGCAGATACGCAATATTTTTTTGCCAAACACTTATCCATAAGCATATAATTTGCTAGAGATGTGTGTATATTGTTGGTTTGGGGAAGCAAGGGTTAAAAAAAAAAATGTCCCCCATCAACACAGTAAACCTCATGTCCATATTTATAGACACAGAGCCTGTTTGAGCTCCATCTGGAGCCTGTCTGGCGCTGACAGTGTCAGTGCATGCACAGCAAATGAGAGCATGGAATTGCCCCTCACGGCTAATCAAGGTCTGATTTCAGTGGGTGTCTCTTTGATACTGCAGAGAGAGACCCTTGTTTATACAAGGGATCAGTAGATAACTAGCAGGGATAGAAACAGTGGTTGACCTGAAAAGGCTGCCTGTTTTCCAGGGAAGCATGGCAGTTGCCAGTCAGAGGATTAACTGACAAGTGCTAACAAAAGTACATTCCAGTTTATCCTCATACTAGGGGCAATACTTTCGTCACTTGTTGTCCTTTTAATATAAATATATAGTATGCCAGACAGATACAAAAAAAAAAAGTTGCATGGTTTCCATGAGTAGACGGTTTGTCAAAAAAAAAGGTGATGCATAGTTTTCCCAAGTATATTGTTTTTTAGGCACATAATGCATGTAATGCATATACTGTATGTGTGACTGTTGCAGTGTAAGCATGCAGAAGCCAAACACAGAAATATTGGACACAGGTCTTCAGGAAGTAACAGGCCTTTATTCACATTACCGATCGGGTCTCAGATGAACTCCTGTTCCAACATTCTGAGAGACCAACACATAGTGTACATTCCTTATATAGCACTATAACTCCTCCCATTAATAGCTACACCCACATATACCTTTAACCAATCAATGAGCAGAATATAGACTTGTACATCTAGTCAAACCACATGGCTCATCCAAGACAAAGGAAATAAGTGCAATTTCAGTTCCTGCATTCCTGCACATGCTCAGTACACTGATGACAGTATCCTAGCTACATGTAGCTAACCAACTGACACAACATACACATATGCCACATGGAGATTTTGGCCTACTAAATTTTGACCATGCTGGAATCCCATCACATTCCCCCCTTTGATGCCTCTGATATAACATTATTCCAGATGCATCACCAATCACAGTTTTACCTACATCTCTCAAGTAGCCATTGAACCAGAGTAGACCTTGTAAGCATCTTAAAAACTCCTTCAACATTCTTCATCCTGAATATATTCTCTTCGGGCTAGGGGATCATATCTTCCAGACAGCCATTACATGGGCAGCTGTCTTTCTCTCTATAGTACTCTCTATAATGCTACGTAGGGACCTTACCACTAGTGGAATTAGACAGGGCAGGAGGAGGCACAAAAAAAAATAATAAATTCTACTCCTCCTACTAATGTCTTAATTCCTCCAAGCTGCTCATACCAACTTCCAAACCAACTACTTAGGTTATACCCATTCCAGACCTGAGTAGGTACATGCTCAAATTTAACCATGTGGCTTGTAAATTCAGCCACTGCCTGCCCTTCATCATCTATGTGCAGACAACAGTTACTTAGATTAAACTTTCCGCATACACCTCCTTCTACTGCTAGTAAGTAATCAAGGGCTAGCCTATTCTGGTATATGGCTGATCACATCTTGGTATTTTGCTTAGCTAGAAGATTAAGCACTTGAGCTGTCTCATTAGTAATAATCTCAACTACCGCCTGTAGTCTAATAATGCGATTGAGCATATATAATCGGAGTTCTATATCCATAAGTGCCATCTTCTGCCCAAGTGGTAGGTCCATAATAATTAATAATACGTTGAGGGGGCCACTCATTATCTTCCCAGCTACCTGTATTCAAGGATGCTCTCTCCCTTTTATGATTTACATCGTAAACCTTAACTCCCAAGGTCTCTCCTGTTTCGATTGGCAACAAGAAGAAGGATGGCTTTGGCATACCTAATACACATGCCCCTTCCCAATCTTGTGGTAACTCCGAATAAGTTTTTTCTTACCACAAATCCAGTATAAATTTGCTGGGGCTTTCCAACTAGATGTAGCCGATAAGTCAAACCATACCTCCCTTAAATGAGTGTAATTGGCAAACGGATTAGTAGGTTCCGAGACATTTGAAGCTGACCACCAAGTAGTATTTTTAGTATTAACATTATAGGCTTTTTGTCCCAAGCACGTTAGCTCACTTACAGACGTGTTATACATTGTCCCTTTCCTGGCTATACAAACATAACCTATAATGGAGGTTTTCAACCACCATTCCAATTTACTTCTAGTACTTACTTGATGATCAGACTGGAAAGGTATCTGTTGTTCATATGTCTCAGAGCCAGGGTACCATATTTCCTTTGCCTCCCATGGCCACTGGTCTCCCATATTAGTACCTCCACACACATAGCAATTAGTTACATTAAGACTACCTGCAATACCCTCAGCCAAATCAATAAATAGGTTGTTAACATTATGGGGAATTTTATCCTCAATACTCATCTCCTCATAGAAGGAATGAGAAACCTGATGAGTTTGAGTTGCCACTGTCTCAGTTTCAAGACCTACATATATTATTGTTCCTGAATCTACTCCTGTGCCATATATTTGGAACCCAAACAGACCTCCAAACCTGTCAATAAAGTACTGCAGATTGGAAATGGTCATGTGAACGGGGTTACACACATAGTTTTACAGTATGGTGTGGTAGGCAACCTTTGGATAATCATATCTTGATCCACTGTTTTTCCCAGGTTGCCCAACCTACACATGACCAATAGGGGCAGAAGTTAGTCTCTATTTGGGCAATCAGGATCAGTAGATCTTTTACTGGGACATAAGTATTTATCATTAAACCCATAAGTTCGTTCCCATTTAAGATTACCACATACATTCCAAAGTCTTCCACTACCCGAAATCGCCTTACATGCATCAAATAGTAGAATACCCGTGGAATGTATGGTGCTTATCACAGTCCTATTTATTAATGTCCCCTGGGAGTTACTATTCCGAATTACCAACCAAATTGTACGGGGTTGGAAATGGGGATCAAAACATTTAGACTCTCCTGATATTGGCTTGCACACACTATAATCAATATCCAAATATCTACATTTAGATACAGATCCCTTACATTCATACTGTGAGTGCCAGATGAGAGTTTGGGATATTTGGTTACCTGTTTTAGTAGTCTTAATGCAACTATCGCAATTCGGTATGTCTGTACTCCTACCTTCCTGAAAAATCATAAAAATACTAAGACACAATAAAACACATTATTCCTGAAATCCTCATTTTTCTTCGACCGTGCGATGGCCTCTCAGCTTCCCGATTGTGAGGGCTGCAAGGATGTTGTTCTTCTGATCCTCACTTTCCTTCACAGAGATCCCTTCAAGATACTCTGGCTATGACACGTAGGCAGGTGGTCAGGCTTTATTATGGCCGTCAAAACACCTACTTGATGATCTTTGTAGACTTTTAACTAGAATGTCTCGATATCCCCTCGTCACTCCGACTAAGTTGCACGCTTCAACCGGGTCCTGCAAGGATTCTCAGGATCTGGAGTAGCTTGCCAAGAGTCTGCTGCTGGTTTAAACTTAGAATGATGAATCCAAGGAGTCACTTCCGCCACCTTTACAGCTGTTGGGGTAGATAAAAGAACAACATACAAAGGCTAACAGGATACACCCCGAGCTTTAACTCAATATGTATTGGTGGGATATTACGAGCAAGTCCTGGAGGATTATTTTCTTCCCATACTCCTGGAATGTCAAATAAGGATTCATCACTCTTAGGGTTAACACTTGTCACTATGGAATAGAAGCGTCATTCTTCTTCCCTTGGCACCGATATCACCATTATGCCTGGTAATCCCTTAAACTTCAGAGATGTTAATCCATTAGGTAAAAGGTTATCTGAGCTTAAAGCTTCGATAATAGATCTCGTCCTAAAAGTTGAATCGGACACTCTGGCATATATAGGAACTAATGCTTCACCACATGGCCTCCCAGAATACAAGTGCGACTCTTAAGAACCGGTCTAGCTGCACTTCTCCCAGTAGCTCCTATCACAGTTATAGTCTTCCCCGAAGGCGGAGCCACCATCTTAGTCACCACAGAATGTTCAGCACCTGTGTCGATCATGAAAGAACTTCTCTTTCCCCCTATTGCTACATCGACCATAGGCTCCGCTCGACCAAGTGGGATGGAGCCCAGTCGGTATCAATAGTCTTCCATGATAGTGTCAGCCAGACCCACAAAATCTCTATCCTCTCTTTCTCTAGGTCTCTGCGTGGGTGGATAGTATCTGT